ATTTCACCACGATCACCACGCCGGCCACACGGCTTCTCTCGGCGCCAACACGCCGAGTGTGCCCATCTTGCTGTTTCCTCTGCAGAGAACGTGTTGTCTGGAGTTCATACTGTGGCTTCTTTCTTTTCTTTTTTTCAATATATCTTTATTGATTTCAGAGAGAGGAAGGGAGAGGGAGAGAGAGAGAAACATCAGTGATGAGAGAGTCATTGATCGGCTGCCTCCTCCACCCCCCCGACTGGGGACCGAGCCCGCAACCCGGGCCTGTGCCCTGCCTGGGAATCGAACCCAGAGCTACTGGATCCTAGGTGGGTGCTCAATTGCTGAGCCCTGCCCAGCAGGGCGATAAAAATATTTTTTAAAAAAAGAAAGAAGCCGCTTGGCTGGGCTGGCTCAGCGGCTGAGCGTCAACCTAGGATCCGGGAGCTCTCTGTTGGATTCCTGGTCAGGGCACAGGCCTGGGTTGTGGGCTCGGTCCCCAGTCCACGGTGTGCAGGAGGGAGGCGATCGGTTATGACTCTTTCATCATTGATGTTTCTCTCTCTCTCTCGCCCTCTCCTTTCCTCTCTCTGAAATCAATAAAGATATATTTAAAGAAAAACAATCTCATTTGTCTTGGTCATTAGAGCATCCCTGGGCCAGGGATAGTGCCTGGCACCGAGTAGGTGCTCAATAAATATCTGTTGATTGAACAAATAAACTTCAACTCCAGATAAACCAGAAACAGCACTTTTCAACATAATCTATATTAGAAAAGACACACATATTAGCAATGGCAAAGAAGTCCCAGGCTGTTCACTTTTCAGAAATTACTAAAAAGAAATGCATGTAATCTCTTTTAATAACGGCTGCTTATGATTTCTTGGAAAGGGTCCCCATGTTCTAGAAAATAAAAAAATTGGAGAAGAATATTTACTATTCCTGACTTTCAGCCTAACTTTTTCTTTAAATTTTTTCGTAAAACTTAGAACATTTTCACAATATTTTAATAGACAGAGCTACCAAGTACTGGCTCTCTGACAATTTTCACCATTGGGAGATGTCTGCTTGGACCCACTTTTTGTATGCTCTGGTGAAAGGAAACCCACCTGTAAACGTATTTTTAAAGGTGTTGGGTTGGGATTCCCAACCCTCTTGAGGTGGACACACCTTCCTCACCTTTTTTAGTGGTTTAAAGTCCTGTGCTTGCCTTGGCTTTTCCCCCACACAAGGGCACCACCTTGATTTCCATATGAACCATGTGCCTAATGCACAGTCATGCATCAGCAGGAGGCTTTATTACAGCTCCCCAGTGGTCTCATCAGAGAGTGTTTGTGGAGTTTAGCACTTCTCAAGGGCAAGGAGCAGGTTTACATAATCCTCTTGGTGCAGAGCCTCAGCCTACAAAATGGGTCCAGTGGGTCCAGTCAGCCCAAGGAGGGTCTCCCTGCACCTAATTGTGTGATCTCTCATCTGTCCTGCTACCTTAACAAATCTTTTCAAGGCAGTGTATACAGCCCTGGCATAAATCAATTAATCTTAAAAACTTTGAACATAAGGACAGCTAATAGTGTCACCTTCCTCTTACTACTCTGTTGGGACTCATGACAAATCACCCATCAGATTATATGGAGCCAGGAAACCAGTAAATAGCTGGTTGTTTCTGGAAACAGCCAGCCACTGGCTTTATACACGTTCAGGCTCCACAACAGCCCTCCCACCCCAAGTCCTTCTCTGGGCCTCACCAGGTGCTCACAGGAAACCCTGGGCAAAGGGTTAGAATGGTTGTGTCATGGCCAAGGAGCACTGAGTTTAGAGTCACCTCTTCAACAGCAAGCCTGCTCTTTCTCTGGGGGAAGATGTTACCTCCCCCCTCAGTCTGCTCCCTACAGACACAACCCTGAGAGGTGGCCAGAAAAGGGGGTGAGGGTGAGGGCCTTCATTGCTGGCACACCCAGTAGGAACCTGCAGGGACCCACATCACCTCTCCCGACGAGGTCAGGAGCCAGTCTCTGAGGACCCAGCCCAGAGGCTCTTCAGTGAAGAGGGAAGATCCCTTTGGCGCCCACAGGCTTGCTGTTGAGGACAGGGGGGCCTGCAATAGTGGAGTGGAAAGCGGGAGCCTCCCCCCTGGTCTCGAGGGGTTGTAGGAGGTGATAAGGGGAAGCAGGAAGG